TGAATTTGATTATACCCCGAGTAGGCGTCAAGAAAGGTGAGGGTCTCGTAGCCAGCCGTAACATCGATCAGACGATTGATGTTAGGCAATGGGAATGAATCCTTGGGGCATGCCTTATTTAAGTCTTTATAATCTACGCACATTCTTAACTTATTTCCTTTTTTGGGTACTACCACTACGTTGGCTAGCCATTCGGGGTACTTTACCTCTCTAATAGACCCTATTTTAAGGAGTTTCGTTATCGCGTCCTTGATGAATGCGTGTTTTACTTCGGATTGGGGTCTTCTTTTTTTGCTTCACTGGTTTAAACCTGGGGTCGACACTCAATCGGTGTGTGGTTATTTCCGGCGGGATTCCTGTCATATCTAAGTGGGACCAAGCGAAACAGTCGATGTTATTAATAAGGAATTGAATGAGTTTTTTCTCTAGTTCGGGGGTTAATCCCGTTCCCAGGTATACCTTCCGATCCTGGAGATGCTCGATCAAAATAGCTTGCTCCAATTCCTCAATTGTCGATTTTGTTGCATCTGACTCTTCAAGGGCAACAAAAGTTCAAGGAGCGAGGAAGTCTTCTTCATCATCTCTGGGGGTCTGTACGCTCCCAGATTCATCCGAGTTGGAGTGTATAGGATTCGGCGCCTCCTGTTAAACCGCGAACATTTCTTTTGCCGCATGTTGTTCTCCATATACGGTTGTTATACCATCCTTTATTGGACATTTTATCATTTGGTGCAGAGTTGACGGCACTGCCTGTGTATCCACCGCTGCATTGTACATCATGTCACCGCCGATAACGTGGAACTTGGTGTTCTAAACTGTACTAGACATTTCAACCGGGAGGGAGATCTCTTCTTTCGTTACTTCGCCGACCATGTTGAAGTCGTGGAGGACCCGGGAGGCGGGTACTATCTGATCGAGCAACCCAAGCTGTTCTACTACCTTCGACCTGATTACGTTGGTCGATCTGCATGCATCCACGAGCACACATTTAATTCGAATGTTCCTTAAAATAAATAAAATTACCAGCACGTCGTTGTGTGGTTCTGCCAAGGTCTCGAGATCCTCCTCGCTAAATGCAAGGGTGTCTTCGGTCATGCGGTCTTGGATCGGCCCCTCTATTGCAGCGGATATTTTTATCCGTTTGATCACGGGTCCTTGGGGAATGTTATTCCCGCCGATAATCATATGAACGGCATGCCGAGGAATCTCTCCTTTTGCCCAGGTTGGATTTTTCTGAGTTTCCTGCTGAATTTCTCGGCGTGCTCCCTGGTTAATATGAGGACCGACGTTAACGCATTGGGCATCGCACGAGGTCGTACCCTTGGGAATCGTCTTCGGTGTGCTCTCAGGGTTTCGCGGTGGCACATCCATACCTGGAATAACCATACCGCCCTTTCCATAGTTTTTGTGGCTGTTATTTTCAGGTACATTTACTGATTTAGGCATTTTGACCTGAAATCAAAGATCTTGGACAAGAAAAAGTGTGAAAGATAACTTGCATTGTGTAGTAAAACCAGCAAGAAAATAATCACTATTATTTTTAGCCCCACGGTGGGCGCCAAACTGTTTATCGTGAAAATGATAACAATAATTAAATTTGATTTTGTGGTTCTAAAAATACGTGATCTATTTTTATGCTAGTTATTAAGGCAATAGATGCTAAGTGAAGTACTTGGAATCAAGGAAATAGCTTTAAAATGAGATGTTAACTGAGCTGGATGGCTGTCGATCGGGGCCTTGAGCTTGCTTATTCGGGGCCTCGGGGTCGAGTCTAGTGCTTGCCGAAGGTAGTCGATGGATGACTAACAATTAAAATAAAATCAATGATGGCTCTTTATGGCTAATAATAAGCAATAAATGATGAACAATAAGTAGAACACAATAAATACGAGCAATAAATGAAGTAATGAGATCAAGAGAATATATTAGAAAGCAGAGAGAATGTTCTTGTGTATTTAGTATTGAGCAACAGGTTACTACAAAACGACAAGGATTCCCTTTATATATGAGGGGAAATCCCAACATAGTACAAATATATTTATTATAAAGATATGTAGATGGGATAACTAGTTGATGTCATGATTCGGGTCAGAATTTAGCTCACTAGACTTTGTCAGCTCTAGTTATGCGCCTTGGGAACTCCCCACTTTTCCGTCATAGCCGTTGGTCTGCATCGCCCCGAGGTCGAGCGTCGATAGCCCTCAAGGGTGAACCTCGACCCTAGTCTCGAACTTGCGAAATATGCTTACGAGGTACCACAACGACAAAAAATTGGACCCTCCGATTTTACCGTATACATGGGTTGTTGAGTGTATTGAGGAGAATGTTTTTAATGGTTCTTCAAAGGAGGAGAGGTATGGGGATGGCTTGGTTGTAGAGGTGGTGGTGGTGGTGTTGGGGAAGGAGGGAGGCGGTAGAAAAAGTGGGAGAGAGGATAGAAGAGAAAAAAAAAAGGTATAACCGAATTTCTTAATTGAAAGTACCAAATTATGATTTGACGTCCTTTTAACGGGGATGTATATAATTTGTAAAGAAAATCTAGTTAGTTCTTCTGATAAATAGCAATCTGTAGTTAAAGGGGATAAATATATATATAGTAGACAACTAACGAGAGGAGAAAATAAGCTATCATTCACCAACATATTTAGTTGACAACTAACGAGAGGAGAAAATAACTATCATTCACCAACTCAGCTCTACGGCCCGGGAAATTCATTGAATGAAAGAGTGAAAACATGCCAATCTGTGTGACCCAAGAGGTGAAAGTGTGTGGGTTATATGACCCAAGAGAGGAACAGTTTGGGCCTAAGTAGCATTTGCCACAAAAATCCTTTATGAGTCTATGAAGTAAAAATTGCACGGGGCGTCCTATTTGGTCGCCCCCATTTAATCTATACTCATCTTTTAAAAAACTTTTAACTTATACCCACTTTTTAAATAACTTCAGCTTCATTTCTTCTCCTTTGTTTTCTTCTTCAAGTTACAAAACAAACTGGTATTTATCTCCAGAAGCAACGCTACTTTAGTTATAAGGTCAATTTTTTTTAATTGAACAGTTCGGCAGTTGTACTTCTGCTCCAAATTTACAGCAAATTAGTCTTAGAAAAAAGTTTAAGTTACCAATAGGATGAGCTATAAAATTTTGAAATTTTTGTATGTTTATTCGTGTTTGAGCTGAGAAGATGTACACTATTTTTCTTAAAAAATCACTGCTAATTGTGGTGCTTCAGCTATAGAGCTGAAGTTCGCCAGTTACAAAACAAAAACTTCAGCTCTAGAGCTGAAGTTAGCCAGTTACAAAACAAAAACTCCAGCTCTTCGCCAATTACAAAACAAAAACTGCTGAAATTCGCCAGTTACAAAACAAAAACTTCAGCTCTAGAGCTGAAGTTAGCCAGTTACAAAACAAAAACTCCAGCTCTTCGCCAATTACAAAACAAAAACTGCTGAAATTCGCCAGTTACAAAACAAAAACTTCAGCTCTAGAGCTGAAGTTCGCCAGTTACAAAAACAAAAACTTCAGCTCTAGAGCTGAACTACAGGCCCGGCTACTAGAATGATGAAATTTTGCGTGGTTGCCTTTGCTACTTCAGTCCTGTATACTGAAGTTATGCGAAAAAGGGGGTACGATTTCAATTTTTTTTTTTGCAAAGCAGACACAAGTTAAAACGTGACACAAAAAGCGGGTATAAATGTAAATGCCCGTCTATGAAGTCAAATATAAAAAGCCCATTTAATGATTGAGATGCTACTGCCAAGAGGTGTGTTGTGAATTTGTGATGGTTGAGATTCCTCCCGCCTTAATCGGATATTTTGGATTTTGGATCCTGGAAATGGAGAACTTCTCCTCGAGAAGAGCTTTACCCTCACAAAATAGAAGATAACAAAGTTAAAGGAGTAACATATCTTCTAAATTAAATGCATTGATTTTGTGCGAGAGAGGAAGAGAGAGAGAGAGTTCTTAATTTAGGCAACAATTGCACAAAATATGTCAAGTCTTGATATGTAGAAAGAACATCTCTCTAGAAATCAGTTCTCCAAAAGATCCAATTACAATTAGTTCCTTTGAACTTCTATTGAAGCATATAAAGGTCCATGAATATAATCTCATTTCTATTCTCCATCTTGGTTCTGTTATACGAGCTATATGTTAGTGTATTATCAACGATTTCTACAAAAGTTGGATATGCGCTCCAAAGAGCTGTCTAGCTAGTATTCATTGTGGAGCTTCAAGCATTATCATCAACGACACCACTTCTACAGAAATTGATCGAGGGTTCTCCTCTTCATCAATTAAGAAATCTCTACGCAAATAGCCGGTTGGTTGCATAATATCGTGATCTTCAATTGATTACAGTTATACACATATTATATATGAAATATAGATATATTGTACATTCACATGTTATTTTTGGTTTAAACAGTCGCGTGGGGCCGTGGGTGGCTATTTAATTAGTTTAATTCTTCTTCAATTATTTATGTACTCATTCTAAAGAGCCAAAAAAAAGGTCAATACTTAGTAATCGCAATGCACATAAACATCTTATCTGTAGTTTACTATTGCCTCTTCAAAACGTGCATTCAACCAATTCACCAATCAAAAAGGAATAAAAATGAAACAAATCAAAACATGCAAAAGGTCTACATACATACATCAGGAAAAAGAACAGTAAACTGAACCGAAAGTTCAAGCATGCATGATAAAAAAAAAAAAAAAAAAAAAAAAAAAAAAAAAAAAAAA